CGGGTTCTGAGTCTGCTTATATTGAGATACAAAGCGCCCCCAACAGACAGGCTCAATGGCAGGACCCTTGATAAGGACCCCTTGGCACGTACCCCTAGTTTCAAGCATCCCTCATGTTAAAGGGGGTCCTCGCAGTGGATCTCAAAAGTGGGATCCAAGAAAGATGCCTGTAGTTCCTCCACGGCTCCTTCCGAGACATTGAGGGTTTTCGGATTTAGGGTTTTTTTTTTGAAAGCCCATTTCCTCGCGAGGGCTGAGGACTGAAGGTGTAGAACGAGCATCTTTTCTAGCATCAAATCGCAATCCGCATACAGCTTCTACATTGCATGAAACAACTCACCTGTTAGTCCCCTGTCCTTTCCAGGGTTTGGGCGACAAGCCCTCCTCCAGCAGCTGCAGATTGCGAGTTTCCTCATCTATCTCTTCAGTTGCCTGGGACTGCAGTGAGAATCGACAGTGGTAGAATGGCATCATGGCCTGGATTCCGGCCTCTATACAAAAACAAACAGTGAAAACCGCAACACCCCCTGTAGGAGGCACCCTCATCGCTTGGGGAACTCGTGGAACTCCCACAGCCCTCTGCCGAGCCTGCCCTTTCCGCAGTAGCGTAGAGATAGAGAGCGGCAGGAAGGGCGGGAAATGCTGCGTTGAAGCATCCTCCCCAAGAGCACGGAATAATTAGTCGCGTTGCTTTGGCGGGCTGTTTTCCAGTATGACAAACAGGGCTTCGAGTTCAGCGACTCTCTCTCTACTCAGACGTGCCAGATGAGGCACCCCAACAGGAACCATAAGCGCACTACCAGTGCCTCCACAGCGACAGTGGACGCCGTTGGTCGCTCCTTGTAACGCGCCAACAAAGCTGGAATGCTCGTACTGGCACATGACTGCACCCACTGCGGTGTCCGTCTTACTGCGATTCGTGCTTCCCTCACCACGGGATCAAGTGAACACCTCGACATGCTCGAGCCCTAGCCCGCGAGCTCTCAGATGTGCTCCAGGTATCTATACTTTATATCTGTCCACACATCAATGTGAAGGTGTTCAGAAGGTCCACGCTCCGACATCTACATGATTTTCTCGAAAAAACAGTGGTGCATAATGCGCCTAAGCGATAACAGCTCAGTCGTTGCGGATGAAGTTTGGCAAGAGAGCACTTGTATGTCCCGAGTATTCCCATTGGTTGACTTGTGCCTAGTGCTTGCTTGTTCTTGCATGATATGGTGGATCACGCCTTCTCTTGCCAACTGTCCTTCTCGTTGCAGTAGTAGCTTGGAGCTTTGTCTTCCTTCGGGGAAGCCTGGCAGGTGTTCTGCTTCACCGGATCAGGACAGCAAAGCATTGAGTACCCCATACAAGGGTTGCATACTCCAGCTCTTGCAAGACAAACTGAGCCCCTCAGCTGCCTGTGATTGAAGCATCTGCGCGCGGCGACAGATGGATTTCAAAGTGCCGATTCTGACTCGCAGAGTGCGACTGCAATGTCTGCTAGGCTGAAAAGATGTGTGGCTATGCTCGTCTAGAAGTCGGTAGAGAAACTGCTGTTGTCAGCCAGATGATGATGTCCATGACAGTCAGTCTTCAACTCATCAAGGCTGGTTGTGAAACGGGCCCTATGGCAACCGAGCCGAAAAGAAGAGTTGAAGTCTCACTGAAGGCACGCGCCCGTCTGTCATCTGCTGATGTGTTCGAGCTTGTCTTGTCCTCTTCCTGTCCAACTTCCAACATATAGCGACGAGGTCCGGCTTTGATATGTAAGGCCTGGAGCTCTTGAACAGCCGCCGCCTCCACCAAGCTGAAGTGCGTTTTCCCGTCGCACAGATGGACCACCTCATGGACAGGAGTCGTGAAGAGGCCCCTTACCCCACTACACGCCCCTTGACAGGGGGTGGTTCACTGAGTTGCGTGCACGGAGGATCTCTGTCTTGGCAGTCCTGCGCAGTGCCAGGTGATGAACGGAGCAAGAAAGCCAATGTAGGCCCGTAGTGGCATAGGATCGTTCGATTGAAAAAACTTAGCTCGAGTCCTACCATTTGCATCTGCCCAGGTGTGCCACGAACCATCCGGCCCCCGCTCGCCCGAAAGGCGTGCCTCCAGGGCAATCTGGCAGTCTGACGAACCTACCCCCAGATGTTACGGTCTATTTGTTTCTAACCATCTCCACGGGTTATGGCACACGGAGGTGAGACGTGGTCCCATTGCAGGAGGGAACAGGGCGAGCGCTGGAGAGAAGGAGAGGTAATTAAGCACTTCTCTAAACTTGATCTGCTTCCATGCAGAGAAATGTATTAGAAACACAAGGCTTTCCAGATTCAGGTTCATGTCAGCTTTGTTACTTGCGCCCTATTTTTAAACCTCCTCGCTCAACCAAGGAAGTGTCCTTGCACCGATAAGGACTTGCGAAAGTCCTTCGGTAGGAATCACGCGCACGGCCATTCGTTGGTGAAAGGTAGGCTTTCCCTGTATCTGGGAAATACCTACTGACCAACTGCTATGTGGAGGAAGGCCAAAACGAAGTGACAACTCAGAAGGAGGACCAGTTCATCTCCAAGTCACATGTACTGGATTTCAGTGAACCAGGCATCACAGATCTCCTGAGCAACTCTCTTCGGGTCCGACATGTCTTTGTCGATGATCCGCACCCGGTCCGTCCGAAAGGCCAATGCATTCAGCGCACGGCCTTCTTCTTCTTTGGGACAGGGTGGAAACTCATGGCAGAGCTGGATTGCCAGAATGGTGAGGTGGTTCTGGTGCGCATATTGGAGCTCTATATAGGTTTCATACTGCGCGCCAGTTTTCTCCCCGTAATCCCAAGTGCAAAAAGCCAGTAGGGCCTTGGCTCTGTATAAGAACCGCGCCGTTTGGTCTCCGAATGTGGCCCCAGCAAAGTTGGCCTTCACCATATCAACGGGAACAGATCTGTCCCGAAGCACCTCGTAGACCTGTCTCATGTAATTCATCTTCTGCTGATCGTTGAACCGTCCAGAGATCATCAAGTTTTTCCGTTGTGACAATTGAGGTGCGGCTGGCGGTGGGGGGGGTGGTTGAGACGGGAGGTCCGGCTGATGCTCATCATCTGGAGGGGGCGGAGGCGGCGGTATGAGCTGAAGAAGGAGCGCAGCGTCCTCTCCGCTTTCAGCATGAGCTCTCTGCAAGAGTTCTGTAATCGGCAGACGGCCAGTTTCCAGCTCACCTGTGCTCAGGAAGGTGTGAGGCACATCGGCCGTGTATACCTCCACATCACTATCCCCAGACAGAATAAGGTGCAATCCGGATGCATTCCCATCCTCCTGTTCTTGCAGCGATGGCGGTGGCGGCGGCGGCATCGTTATCCCATATCCCTCTGCTTGTGTTGGTGGTGGTGGTGGTGGCGGTGGTGTGGGTGACATCCGGTTCGCCTCACACAGCCTAAAGGCATGGACGGAGTCGGCAATGTCCACCTCAAAATGTCCTTGCTGAGCTTGAAAAAATCGGCTGGTGACGAGCGGAAACCTGTGGAAGTTCAAATCAAGTTCTTGATGATCGTGCTGAGCCTGTGCTATCCTGAGTTTGTCGCCGTGGCTATAGGAGCCTGCAAAAAAAGCTGGCTCGCACTCAACGAATCCCCTCAAGACCTCCGGGTCTACGCGGCAGTCAGACGTTGGCACCAGCTGCTGGGCACAAGACGGACAATTTGCGTGCAGAACCGCACATTTGCCCCTCCTTGTGGTTGTATCCATGAAGCCCCGGACCAGCATTCCCCTCGGCTTTGGAGAGCAGGCACCATCAGTTCCGATAAACAGCTCGCAGAAATGATCCAGGCGCAGGCAAGCATATCCTGGATAGAACTCCGCATTTGGAAGCGACTCCCAGCCGCCATCCGATGATGAACGCCATACTGCCGGAGAGCCCGCGCAGACAGGGATGATGAGAAGCACGGGCGCCTCTTCGAAGCGGGAATCGTGCGGAAGTAGCTTCAAGATAGGGCTCAAAGGACATACATTCGCCGGCAACCTTGGGCAGTCTTGCAGGTCAGCAATCTCAAACCTGGCATGCGAATGCCTCCTCGAGACCATCACTACTCCGCTCCGGACCTGCGCAAAGTCGTGTCGGCCCAGTGTCACAACCAAACCATCCACCTTGTCATGCACGACTACCGTGTTTGTCAGAAGCGTATTACCACATTCTGCTCGATTCAGCACCGCCTGGAGCAAGGCTTCGATGCCCTTGTCCTTGAGGATCTGCAACTGATCCGCCAGGACCTTCGCCACCTCAGAACGCGCAGCCTTTGCGCCAAACGCCGTGTCCAACAAGGCCGCGGCGGCCTCCTCCGCGCTTCCCTCATCTGCAGCCCAAGCTGCAAGGGCTGGATCTCTCACCACACCGCTGTTGTCGTCTCGATTCAACTCCGGGATCTTCGCATCTGGACGCACAAGCTGGAGTACCCAGCAGGAGACGGGAAGCACAAGGGCCTCGACCTCGAGTCGTGACAGAGGCGGACCAACCTGAATGGCATCTTCCTCGAGACACGGGGCCAGCGATACCGCCATGCGGTTCCTTGCATCCTCGGTGAGACGGAAGATGGTGTCGCGAACGGCAGGATTGCGAAATCGCTCCAAGACGGTTCGACACCATTCTGCCTTGCCGAGCCCTTGAACAGGGGGCACCGTGCGCCCAGCAGCCGCCATGTAAACTCTCAGGAAGCCGGAAATGCGAGCATCTGCGACTGCCTCGTGCACCAGGGCATGCCCCAGCAGCACTGCTGGATACGCTAGGGCCTGGTGGACACCTTTGAGCAGCCGAAGCTTCATCAGCTCGTAAGGCAAGGAATCTTCAACGAAGAGGCACTTTCCGCTGGTAGACTTGTCCCATGCGGGTCGCCCCATTGGGAATTTATCCTCGACAACCCAAAGCAGGAACTGCTCACAAACGACCGGACAGGCATCGTCAAGGCCGTACCTTGACTTGAGCTCAGCTTTGTCTTTCTCGGTAGTTGCGGGCGTGATGCGATCGACCATCGAGTTGGGAAACGAAACGTTTTCAGAAATCCAGGTGGCAAGCTCTTTGTCCACCGCTCCTGCCATCTCCAAGACCGCCATGCGTGTCTTGTTGCCGTTCTCTGCCAGGTTGTCACAGCTCAGGATCGCAAATGCACCCGCGCCCGAGCGTCGTTGCGCGGCGGCCGCCACAAGGAAACCTACAGCCGTCTTCAAGTTTGCTTTGCCAGCCTTCAAGGCCTCGACATCGCTGGTCACAAGTGGCGAAGCCGTGTCCAACTTGCCCGTCGCGAAGTTGACAAAGTACCCCTTCTCAGTGATGGTCAAGGTCACGATCTTCGTCTGCGCCGAGCTGAGCAGCCCGAGGATTTCCTCCGAATCCTCCGTCGCTAGGTAAAAATCCCGGTAGCAACCTATGACACGAACCTGCTCGGTATCGGTACCTCGCTGCCAAAGCGTGAACATCATGTCTTGCTCCTTCAGGACATCTCTCATACGGACATCAAAACGGGATAGACCGACCCCAGAGTAGGCCCAGGACTCCTGTCCCGGTAGCTCCAGTGCATCTTCTACGAACACGCACTGGTGCGCTTGATGGAAGTTGCCGACGCCGATGTGGACAATACCCGGCTTAACCTTGCTGCGATCGTACTGCGGCACCCTCACGGCACCTGTCCCACTGATTTTTTCGAGGTTGGAGGAGCATAGCTTCATGGTTGCAGGCTAAGGCTAACTGTTGCTCTTTGAACCGGCATTTCAGGGTTTCGGCTCGCACACTCGAGGAGGCAGGCACGGATTGCAGAGATAAGTCTCTCCACAGAGAGGACAACGCGCAAACGGAGGGAACAAAAGCCATAGATCGTGTAGAACCTCAGCCCTACATTTCCTAAGCACAACGAAGAGAAGATCTCTTCCTTCCATCTCGCAGCTCGCAGGCCACAGTATACCGGGAAACTCAGACATTGAGGGTTTATGAGTTCTGCATTCAGGGGACAAGCCAGGCGAGGCTATTGGTGCAGGTTCAGGCTTGAGGGTTTCAGGCTTCTTTGCTTCGGGGCTTCGGGCCCTAAGGGTCTATGTCAGGGTCCCTCATTTGCTGCTTTAGACTGGGCCGGGCCCGGCCTCCAAGATGCGAGGATGGGGCACCTTGGAGGCCCAAAACTGCAAGGCGAGCTCAGGACGCAGCTTCTCTGGAGCCCTGGCCAAAGTGCCAGTGCAGAGTGCGAGGTAGATCTTCTTGACTTGCCGTGTAGCAAACTGAAGCCTGGCACGAGGCATGGTGACAGAGACAGGATTGCAGCATTCTACAGCCGAGCAGGGCTTCCTGTATCGCTTTATGGTGGCAGGGAATGGCGACGAAGAATTAGGCTGTCGGGCGCGTGCTTTGTTTGACAACTCGCAGTGCACGGCAATGCGTTCCCCGACGTCTTACCAGGGAACGCACGCCTGCATGTCGGCCAGATCTGTGCGCCGGAGCAGCAGCGCTCTTAAGCATGCTGATGGTTGGAGTCTTAAGCAGAAGACTCAAGTAGCCGATTTTTGGAACCTGTCACAAATAAATTTTAAGGAGCAACGATTGAAGAACAGGGTTCATGCCAATAGTCTAAACAAGGCAGGGACTGGTACAGTGGGGTTGGCTCTAGAGCTCACGAGCAGGCAGACACGGTCTTTAGTGCACGGCCAGGCATTCAGAAGCATCAGCCCACACACCACAGGAGCAGCCTCCGAAAAAGAAGTCGGGACTCCTCGGTCTGGGCGTACTCGGGATGAGGGGATAACACCACGGCACGGCCAGATGATGGACTTTGCCAGGCCCAAGCTGCTGCATGGCCCTTCATCGAGGGCCACCCTTCGATCCGGTCGTCTTGGCAGTCGGAGAATACAGCGACCGGAGTGGGTAAGCTGGCACAGGGGATGAGGACGTCATCCATTGGATGCATGGCAGATTCTGGCACCCTGCCCGGCTGATAGTTGTTGTACGCTTCCGGCACCCAGGAAACTAACAGCGGTCCGTTGGCATACCTCAACCTAAGAGAAGACAGATCGGCAAGACCCAGGATTCTCCGACCCTCACCTGTCAGCGAGACTGTGACGTCACCCACGCCTCTCCTCCAATTCGCATTGTCATGGGGTAGAGCTGGAACAACATGGCCCCAAAGCGGGAGATCTCTACAAGACAGCCAATGCGCGCCCGCGCAAATGCCCATAACTGAGCCTCCTTCGTGCAGGTGCCGCCGGATAGCTCGTCGCCCATCAACCCCCAATCGCTCGGCATGCTCGTTTGCCATGCCACCATGAAGCAGAACTACATCTGTGCGCCGCAAGAAGGATGGCAAGGCCTCTGGCTCAACTATTGGCCGTTGCTCCGCATCGGGAACCAACGGCCCAAAAATCTCCTGCAACTGCTCAGGGCCTTTGCCCAGGTCGACAAGGACGAGCCGGTGGCCTTCGGGTAATGCAAAGCCTCCCTCCTGGTCCAGCTGCCGAATTGCTGGCAGACGCGATGATGCCGGCGACAGCTTGATCAATGCCCCACCATCTCGAAGTGTCCCGGTTAAGGCGTCCGCATCGAAGACAGGGGCATCGATGCTTGTCACCTGGCTTCGGCTGTCTCCGAGCTGTGAGCTCTCAATTCCTATCGAGGCCCAACTAACAAGTGCTTCCATGAGGACATAGCTGGACTTGGACGTGCCAACCTCGACGTTCGGTGAGACGGCCACGAATCTTCCGCCGAATGGTTTGAGTTCCCCCGCGATCACCGCAGGCATTCCGAGCAGCGATGTCTTCGACTGGCACTCGTTCATCTCTGTCTGGTAGGTGAGGAAAGGGACCCCCATCCCACACTCAAGATCAAAAGGGCCGCCCAGTGCCTGATATTCTGCTCCCATCATGGGCACAAGAGCCGGGCCGTTGAAATATTGAGACTGAATTCCTTCAGCCTCTTGCAGCGTCTGCAAGGACGGCAGACAGGCTTGGCCAAAGCTGGAAAGCAGCATCGTGACTTGCCCTGTGCCGCGGTTCCAGTTGCGCCTGTCATGAGCGAAATATGGCAGAAGGCCAAGGCACCCCTTGTTGCAGCCACAGAATGTAGATCCAGATGCAATTGTCAGCAATGCCCCTCCACTTTCAAGGTGCGCGGTCAGCGCATGCTTCTCAGCTTCCTGAATGTACTTCGAGTGCTCTGTGCCGCCATGAATCACGAGCACACACCGTCCCACAAGGGATGTGTCGTCACAGAACTGTGCCACCGTCATGAATCGCCCACACGGAAACAGCCTGAAGAAACTTGCTTTGACCTTCGCCATGCCCTTTCCGACGTCCAAAATCACGACAGGCACACTCGAAGTGTTGCCTTCTGGCTCGCTTCGCCAACTTGGTGGGAGGCTGGGCCATGCCACCTTGCTGACCGTGTCGTCTGCCAAGCGTCCAACCACCTGACAGGCTCGGAGGTGCCGCACAAAAGTTATAGGCGAAATGCACACTTCCTTCCTTACCCCTCGCTCCATTTACGCTAAGAAGGAGCTTGGCTTCGTGTTTTCTACTCCGGTGCGAGTGCAGTCAAATCCCTGAAAACTGAGAGCTCAGCCATGTCCAGTGTCGCAGGTGAGGGTGACGTTGTGTCAGCCTTCCTTTGCCCAGTGCTGGTAGAAGGAGCTTCTGCTGGCGTGTTGTCATCCTTCCTCTGCCCTGTGCTCGTAGGAGCTTCTGGTGCAATTGCGCCAACCTCGCTCTGGCCTGCGCTCGTTCCACAACCCATGGCTCAGCTGAAACCCATAAGCCCAAACCCAAGCACAGGAATCTTCTACTGTTTGCATCTGTGCACGTGCTTCTCTTCTTCAGGTGCAGTCCTGGAACACTACAGTCACTATAATGTGCCATAGACGTAATACACACGGATGCGCTTTCGAACACACCTACAAAGAGCACCCATCTCGGTGCCACAACGACGAAGATAAGCTGCATCCGAAACGTAGAGCAAAGCATCGCCAAGAGACTTAGACTTAGATGGCACACCTGACGATCGCCTTGAGATGAGAAGCTGCATCCGACGCGTAGAGCAAAGCATCGCCCAGAGACTTAGATAGACTTAGATGGTACACATGACGATCGCCTTGAGCGTCGTGCTTAATCTCGAGCAACAACTCCCGTCCTCGCAGCAGTAGAACCTACCCATGCTCCGCAGCCACCCGACATCCGTCTGCCCCCCGGGTATGCATGGTCCCACGAATGTCTCACACAAGCCCGGTGGGCAACCAAGCTCAGATTTTGCAGCCCCGACTGTCCCGGCTTGACAGATCTAAAACTTCGCGATCGAAATACTTCCCTCCCTGTGACAGCCATCCGCATCGAGCCTGATTCCACGAACAAGCGTGGCAGCGGGGCTGTCCCAGTAAATGCCCTGTGTAGGTCGTAGCACACAGAACGATTCCTGTCGGGCTGGTCGCTGTTTCTGCCCAAGTCTTTCTTGCTTGCTTCCGGGGATCGTATTCGCTTGCTGCTATCATCGTGCTCTTTGTTGTTGTTGCTGCTGCTGTTGCTGTCGCTGAAGCTGACCTTGTCTCTGCCGTTGCCTTTGCGGCGGCGGTGGTGGCGGGGGTCGTGGTGGTGGTGGCGGTGGGATGGAAGAGCCAGCACTGCCGCTTCCCCTCTCAAAGGACTGCAGTAGAGATGAGCAGTAGCAATCGTGGTGGTGGTAGTGGTAGTGGTAATGCTAGTAAGTGTAGCAGCAGCAGCAGCAGCAGCAGCAGGAGTAGTAGTAGAGTAGTAGCAGCAGCAGTAGCACACAGCAGTCGTCGTAGTAGTAGTGGTGGTGGTGGTAGTAGTAGTAGTAGTAGTAGCAACAGAAGGAGGACTAGTAGCAGTACCACTACTACTACTACTACTACTACTACTACTACTACTACTACTACTACTATTACTACTACTACTACTACTACTACTACTACTACTACTATTCATCCTAGGCGTGGTGGTGGTGGTCGTCGTCGTAGTAGTAGCAG